TATTATAAACTTTTAGCTAGGTGTACCTTCCCATAATATATACAGCGTGCTGAGTAATTCACACCAGTCATGCTCACACCTCTTTCCCTCTCAATGATTCAGTTATTCAAAAAACACAAATTCGTTATTTAATGACGAAATATGATTGAGCACGCTTGGTCAATCTGCACCCCGTATATTGTATAATATTATATGTACATAATAGGTGCCTCTTTATAATTTAATTTATATGTTTTAGATGTTTTAGTGTGGGTTGTATGTTTTCTTTTCAAAAGGAAACTGTCGTTTCGGTGGCCTAAAAATCAGGCCGCAGTCGTGGTCGTAGAAAATCGTATACAAAAATTAACGTACTTGGTCAAAATATGTCAGTCGAACTTAAATATAGTATATATATGTATTATTACTAGGACTCGACGACACGTGATTAAATCAACCGTTAAAACATTATAACTTATAATACGTATCGTTGTACTAGTCGTTTTGTACGCCCTTCTCGCATCAATACTGCACACTTTTCTTACGGTTGAACGAGATACCCTGTTATGGGCATACGCGATATTATTATTAAATCCTGCCCACGCCGTCAGTCCATATAGTTTTCAACTACATCATTACGTTGAAAGGGCCCAGTGCACATTATAGTACAAGTGAACTGTAATAATAATTGTCATAAATCATACGCGATGAAGTCAAAGCGGAAGTACACGCGACCATGTATCACACGTTTTGACAGTGAAACAACTCCCGTGTCCTTGCCAAAATTAGTCCGCGATAAGCACAACTATATTACGAAACTATAATAGTACCTATAATATTAATCTACCTACCTTTCTGGCTTCCTTTCGAACGTGTTAAGACGTCGACTCGTTTTAAGCTGAATAAATAAAAAATCGCAGTTTACCTACACATAGGCACAATATATTGTATACACTGTGATTTGTCAACCCCATTCACTCCCCTCCCCCACCTATCACTTTAATAATGCATTTTTTCTAATATTCTGATTTTTGGAATTATTTACTTTACCATTTACTTTCCACGACTTAGATTTTTTAAACTATTTAAGCACAGTATTTTGACAATACAAACTTTTTTTTTCAAATGTGAACTCCCCTTTTTTACTCTAAATTATTCAGCTGTTTTATTTGGGAATGTTCATATTTCTAAATTGAAATTCGAACTAGTGACTTTCGAGATAATAAACATTATGCACAAAGGTTAATAGGTATAGTTCATGGTAATGGCTAATGGGCTTAAAAATATAGAGGCCTTAACGATATGACTATAATATTGTAGTTACTAACACTAATATGTATATATAAGACTACCTTTTTTTATAATTTGTAATTTTTTTGTGTCTAGTTAGTATACTAGATTAAATATTACGCCTATTTTATACTATTGTGTAACCATTTTTAAGGATTATTATCTTAAATATAAACATTTAAATAACTCAGAAACAACTCGATACAATTTTAATTTAGATACGAGTATATTAATATAAAAATAAATAAATAAACAGTTTACTGTAAAAAAGGAATATTTTCATTTGAAAAAAAAAGTTTTTATCGCACCTGATATGATTCAAAAAATCTAAGTGTTTAAAAATGTGGTCTTCAAGTATAATTATACTTATAGTTGACAATTTCAACAATCAGAATTTGAAATGGAGGAGAATAGGGTGGTGATGTGAATGTAATGTAAATCATCCCGTGCCCCTATAGAATACGAATGTATTTAATTTAATTACTATTTACATACTTATTTTACAATTATAAGACGATTATACTTACCACTGACTGATAATAATATCTTGAACGCTTTTTGACGCACCAAAGTTTTTCAAGGAAAAGAAAACGTACAAAATCGCGGGAAAACTGTTATTATTCGTTCGTTTCGATGTGTAATAATATAATAAACATTTTTCTGAAGATATTCAATATTGTGTACACTGTAGGTGTTCATGTGGTAGAAATATTATTATTATTATTATTATTATAACATCGCTGCAGTAACCGAAATGTTGGAGCGGGGCGTGCGTGTGCGATATATAATATGCGAGAGCATTATATCGGTTTCGGTGAGATTGCCTATTAAACTGCTGCCCGGCGACCCTTTTATCGTTTTTGATAAATCGATGAGGATCCCGCGGCTGTGTCTGTAGCGTATAATAATATGTTGAGCGTGTGCTCGCCGCGGATGGATAAAATCTCCACGGCCGTTCTATATAATATTAACTGTATGCTGGTTATTCCCTCTGTATATACGCATAATGTTGTATGGAAACATTTAGCGGCATAAGTGCGCGGCGGTGCAGGAGAGACGCGAAGAGCTATCTATATTATTATTATTATTATTATTATTATTATTATTATTATTATTATTATTATTATATACGAGTAAGTATATATAGACATAATATAAGCTGAAATGGAGCACTGACCAAGACGAGGCTTTGTTTGATTGATGGTTTTCGCGTCTCATGAATTATACAATATGTGTGTTGGCGTATGTGTGTGTGAGTGCGTGTTGATATGTGTGGGGTCTGTTTTCCGGGTGCAAAAATGTGAGTGGTATAATTTCTTTTCACCCCTCTCGTCCCCTCGATACTACCCGACGACGTTCTTTTTGTTTTCCCCGAGAACCCTATTGGACCCATTTTGCGATGTTGTTATTTCGTTTTCTATATTATGCGTATACACTATACCTATAGGCTATAAGCATTCAAAACGGTAACTATCTTAAATGTGTATAAAATATTGAAAGTGTGTGTGTGCTTGTGTACGCGTACAAAGGGGGTGGAGATGCGAGAGATGAAAATAGGATGAAACTGAATGGGAAGGAATGAAAATTGTTTTCATCCATTTTTGGCTCATTATTATTCGTGTACAAATATCGATTCAATTCCCAAAAACGATGGGAAAATCTGCACAGCTTACCTTTGTGAAACAAATTTTGAGATGTCAAAAAAAACATAGTGCATAATAATATATTTAAATTAAAAGTTTTTTTTTCATGTTTTTAAACGAGACTGTTTTTTTTTTTTTTATGAAACACTTTAATCGATAAAGAAATGACTGTATGATAAATATTATAATATTAACATTGAGAAAACTTCACATTAGTTGACAAACATCGTATCGTATTGAAATAATTTTGTTGTAAGAATAATCATCGTCAGAATTAAAAAAAATAATGATACAAAGACATAAAAACATAAAGTCAGTCCATTTGTATATTGTATACAAATTATATAACCACACAATAAAATGAACATTTTTTTATATCTTACATTTTGATTGAACTAAATTAAATTACTTTGTATTTGTATATAATAGAAGTATAAAATAGAATTATTGTGGCCAGCCAGAATGTGCATTGATATTAATTTATAATTATTTAAACTTTAAAGATAAAACTGTTGTACATCATAACTGTATTATAATAAAGTTATACTTATAGTACCTCATAAATACACATTTATATACAAATAAGTCTGTAGGTAATACTAAATAGAATACATCATCGAAAAATATTATCAAATATTGTTCTTTGGAGTGGTAAAATTTAAACATAAAGTATAAATGTACAATGTACAATTATTTAATTAAAATGTTAGAACGACTCATCTCGTGATGCATAATAATATAGAGCAGTGTTGTGGTTATCATTAGTCGGATACTTGTGTTTGAACTTGAAAAATGTTGTGAAAAATGAATATGAACAAAAATGAATAACACTTACTCGGAGGATCTTTATCCGAGAACTATAGTTCGCACTCGAAACTTTTATTACCGAGATCATATCGTATTTTTATGACCGTCTAGCTCATTTTTTTTATACTACACACCATTAAGAGAAACTACCCGATGAACAGTTTTATGTGAGGCACACCGGTGATTTTATGTTGTTCAAAAATCACCAACCTTATAGGTTACTACTGAATTTTATTTTTTACTTTAGTAAGACGTATAATAATATGGAATTTCTCATACGAAATAAATATATTTAGACCGTAATTAAAATTCTAAACATACTTATTTTGAAAAAATATAAGCTTATTATTATACATAGTTGTAGTATAAATAATGAACGTCAACGTCAAATATTAAATGTGCGTTGGTTGTAAAAAAAATGTGCTAGGTATACAAAATATTGTGTAATTGTTATTGTCATTCTAAAACCTAAAGTATAGTTTTAACTTTTGTTTGTCCAAATGCAGGTCAGTTGTAACTTGTAAGCACTATTATAAAATATGTAACATAATATAATATTTATTTAAATATTTATATGTAATCAATTGTAATTTACCATGTTATGGGTTTCAGTTTGAAGGGGATTATTAAATAAACATATTTACACTAATCTTACCCTACTAATTATTCTCAAATTATTAATTGTGCTGACTTCAGTTTAAGAGAAATTATAGTTTAAGAAGTCAAACATTATGTTTCCTAACTATGAGTACTTGTGTGTTTTATTGAGCCTATTATAACGTAACTGATATACAAAATAGTTTCTAGGTTAAACATAACATATATAGCAAATTAGTATCAACAAATACAAAACACAATGTTTTGAGTTTGCATTTATGCTACATTTCATATTTAATATATTTATGCAAATTAATTCTGTTGAATAAATTTAAAATACACATTTTCCTGATTTGTTTTATACCAATAATTGTTCCAATTGAGCATAAATATTTGTCTGAATTCAGTTACGATATTTTTACCATTTAAATTCCCTTTGTACAAATGATTTGTGTGATTCGCAGAAATTAGATTGTTTAGCAAAATATTTGATTATTATTTAGATTTAAATAATTTTTATACTTATTGGCTATTGCCCACATTATCATATTGTTATAAACACACTCTACTTCAATAACCGTTATTTTGAGCTTGACGGTTATACTACTTATACATATACTAGTGTTGTAATAAAATGTTTTAGATTATTGATCAAAAAAATTAATTTATTGATATTTTAATTTTTAGGGTTCGAGTTTGGGCCAAGAAGTTTTCGATGTGGTTGTGCGACATTTAAGCCTTCTCGAAACAGCTTACTTTGGTCTTCGCTATTTGGATTCTCAAAATCAAACTGTAAGTTAAATTACAATTTATGAAAATAGTATTTACTAATATTAAGTGTATTAAACACTTTTATTAATGTTGTTTATTTAAACGATCTTTGATATAATTGTTATTACTTCGCATTGGATAATTAAGATTTTTACGAGTCATAATAGTAATAACTAATAATATAGCCATGTTTAATATAAATAGGCTTTTGTATTGTGAATAAAACTGGTAAATCAGAGAATACATTTATTTTATGACCTAATAATGACCTATAAGCAGGTTATATAAAGTAGTTTTTATAAGTAATAATATTTATAATGACAAACGAAATTAGGTCCATTGTTTGTTATAGGTAATTACTAAATAGTATACATTCATAAAGAATAGATGATTTTATACTAATTATAACATGTAATATGTAGATCATTATAGGAAAGTACAAAAGTCGTAGATACTAATTCTCAAATCCTAACAGATTCACACTACCTACTATATTTGAGTCTATTTATATTTCGTAATTTGTATGTAATTTTTCAATGTAGAAAATTATACAGTCCACATGTTTGTATAGTACAATACGCATAAAGAATGATGTAATAATTCAGGGATGGTTGTTGTTGTGGGTGGGGAGGATATAGTACCTTCCATGGACAACACTTTGGCGTGAGTGTTTAATAAGGAGTTATGCTTATTTAATTAATTAAATAATAAGACGTCGGAGCCATTGTCCACGCTTGAGCCTTTTGGGAGGATTTCCTGGGATAGAGAAAGATAAAATAGGGATTGAACGATGGGGGTGTTATGACATTGAAGGTGGCTTATTCGTGTTGAGTCGTGAAGTTTGACTACTTCAGTGACCTTAAGAATGTAGATTCGTGTGTAGTATTTGCGTGTCTAACTTCTTGGTAAATCTGACCAAAACTAATGTTTGGGAAAATCTCAATATTATTATGATATAAGTGTATTCCCTACTAACAAAATGAAAAAAAAAATATTTTTAAAAGTTAGTGTAAAGTTAATTGGAGCTCTCAGATCTGGACATTAAGTCATAGTGGCTATACTTGTAAACAGACCTATATCGTGTGAACTCTGTTGGATATGATTTGAATGACGAGCGGAGGAGCCTAAGTTATGACTATTACGACTTTTTACTTTTTAGTCTGAGAGTTTTTCATTGAAATAGTTGAAGATTTTTTTTGGCGGTGCCTTAGAGTTGAATATCAATATATTATATATGTATAGGCTTTAAGCAGGAAATTATAATTCCGGTTTTGAGGAAGATTTTTGAGTACCTATTTCCCCTCTTTGTATGAAATTTTAACCCGAGAAAGTGACCTCTTGTTTCGATTCATAATGATATACCTACCTGTGAAATCGTGTTTAGCACTCAGCAGCTAATAATGTTTTACGCCCCACAACTTTTGCCACATTATTTTGTTATAGCACAATAGTGTATGTGTGACCGTCCTGTTATTATGTTCAATTATTATTATATTAACACAGATGCATTGTTAATTATTGTGTACATCATAACACACGCATACCTATACAATATTATTATGTGTGTATCCATACGCGGTCGATAATGGTTTATATTTTGTATACTTTTGTTTCAGCACTGGTTGGATCTGTCCAAGAAAATGAACAAACAGATGAAGGGTACGTACACGTATTTATTTATATTTAGTTTAAATACCACGTTATATAATATTGCGCTCTCGATTTCGTGTTAAAACCTTTTCGGCCGAAAGTTCGCTCGCGGGTGACCCGCCTGCAATCTCGCATGTGTTATTGTCGTCACCGCAACCACGGTTTCGGTTAGCCCTCCCGGCAGCCGCGGAAGTTACGGTGGTGCTAACCACTATTTACGTCCACGGGGGGGCACGCATAATATATTAAATCGGATATATATGTACCTACATATATACACTCGTGACGCTTCGGTGGGGATAGGGGAGGGCGTTCGGAGGCTTATTAATGGGGTTAGTCGCGCGTTGGATACGCGTTAAAGCCGTAATAATTGTATAGTTGCATATAAATAAGCCTGGGCCACAACCCTTGTCAACAGTGCTCGGTCCATTTTTTTTCATCCCACCCTGATGTGTATGTGGAATGTGGATACATATTATATTATATTATACGTTTCAGAATCAGAACTGTTATAGATTCGTACCATCTAATTTCTCGGAAATCGTACCGATATGTATATCGTATTAAACCTACACAATACGGAGTGATTCAATTACGATGAAAAACCATATTTTCTTTAAGTACTTTGATTTTTTCTTTACCATTTAAAGTCTTGCCGTCTTTATTGTCTTGTTACTCGATCTAAACTTCTTGTTCAAATGAAAACAACCATTTTTTACTGTTAACTTCATTGAATGGATGATATTTTTGAATATTTTAATGCATTTAAATCGAAATTTAAACCAACAGTTTCTGAGTTATGAAACTTAATAATATTATGTACCTAGCATATAAAGATTATAGTCTATAACAATGTTTTTATGTACAATCTATGAAATATATTTAATATTTAGTCTCTAGATTCTAGTATATCGTGCACTGTATTATACTAGAACAATTTGCACAAATTATAACATTTTAATACATTCATTATGATCAGAAATTACTTATTTTATTCAATATCATATTTTCGAATCATCACAGCTGAATTTTCTCAATTTATAATACTATTGTCGACTATTACGGCCTTAGTATTTAAAGTTCGGTAACTTAGGTGGGTACTTTAAAATTTCAATAAAAATTATCCTTCGAAAAATTTGAGTTGGTAATAGTATTATATACTTAAAAATTCTAAAAATCATAATTCTTATGAATTCAACTATTGAGTTAAATGAAGAGTTGTAATTAATTATTAAAAAGCCATGCACGTAAACCTAATGCCGCTGTATTTAATAATGTTATGATCGATGTCCTCCGAGATCTATAACATTACTCTAGACTAGTCCTTGAACACCCCCCGCTAACACTATTATAGCAATAATAATAACAATAATATCGTAACTGCTGTGCATGTTATTACCTACTGGGTACACACACGCCACTGCTCTCTCGACCCGGGGGTTTTAATGGCAGTAAAAAAACATTTCGATTAAAATCGCCAACGCTCGTGATTTACGACCCAATAACGCTCGTATCGGCTGCGGCTCCTTCCTTGTCGTATACGACCTATATTATAATAATATATATACCGGAATTGTTTCGAAACGTGCAATAATCCGAAACAACGCCATAATAACACTTCACAGTAAAATCGATATACCTATTTACCTTTTTTCAAAACGGTAAAATTGATTATTGTACACCGTGAGTCAAGACATGCAAATATACATTAGTTTATTATTTTACAGTGGGACACTTACCACAATCATCACCCTTACAGCCAGTATTCCAAAGATAATATACTATGCTTATATAATATTTATAATTGACGTGGTATATCTTGTATTTTGAACTTACTCGATCAGTCTAAAAATCAGGTGAATTTATAAACAAATTAATTTGATTTACAATAACTATAAGTTCGAAAATTCAGTTTGTTTTAGTTGGTTTTTAAATTTTTTACAATTAAAATACAAGGCTTTGTCGATTTCTTACGCCACCCGCGTGCATTGAAGCTCGACGAACGCGTTAAATAATCTCGTTATAAAAACTAACGATTGCTGACGGATTTAAATACAAAGAATAATGAAAAAACTGAGATTATTTTAGGGTGGTTGTCTTAAATCAAAAAAAGCGTACGTGAACAACTCGTAACGAAAATTAAGCGCGCTCGACGGAGAGAGAGATCAATATTTTTTTTAATAACGAGTACTGGTGGAAACTAATTTGGGTGTCCATTATTTTTGCTTGTGTTTTAAGTAGCTGTAAAACGTACTTGTAATTAATTTCGCGACATTAATTACGCCGGATATTGCCGTGTGTGCGGGTGGGTGGGTGGGTGTATATAGTGGAAATCCGTCGGAGAGTAGTCGGCCAGGTAAATATCGCATTTTGTTTTATTGGCAATATAAAAACGGAGCGACGTCTTTATGCTCGTAAAAAAAAAAATAAGTAAAATAAATCAGGAACGCTTTTTAAGATCAATTTTGTGGGCAAACGTCTCTTTTATTAAAGAATTCTCGGAAGGATATTATTTTTTTAATTTTTCTTTTCGGTTTTTACCGACCCACTAGCTATACACGCAGTCCTAACGTGATGAATTTAGTATTATTAGGAACAGTCTGAAAGTTATTCCCGCTGGGAAAGCCAACGATGTTGGTACAAAGTTTGATGCTCCACGTCGACTAATTGTCCCTCCCCTATCCCCCTTACACTCGTCGCCATCGCCATGTCCGAGTGGTTGTTGTTGGATACACACCTACCTCCGTATAATACGTAGGTACCTCCATTATTACCGTTTGTTATCATGCGTGTTGTGTGCGGCTCACGAACACGACATAATATATAACTATATAAATACTCAGAATTGTACATATTGTATACATATAGTTGAATCTCATAAAAGTCTTATTTAGTTGTCTACACAGAAATCGTATTAAATAATAATATTGTTTTGTCTTGAAACCAAATCGAAAACTACATAGATAAATATTATGTTATGTATATAAAATACCAATATAGGTTGGTCACAGTCTTAATTTTGGCGTTTTTACATTTTAGGTAACGAGAACTTCACGTTTTACTTCGGTGTGAAATTTTACGCCGCCGATCCGTGTAAGCTGGCCGAAGAAATCACCAGGTAAGACATGAAAATTGCTCAATACGTTATAATTTACAATATTATTTTAATGGCTAAACGTTGTTAGGTTTGCATCTAAATATTGAAGGTATTTAAATATTTTAGTTTCCGTTAGTTAGCGCTTGTATAAACAAGTCAAAACCTGAAATACTGCAATGTATAATACCAAACCTACATATGATATCATTATATGTACCTATCGCTCATCGACGAATTCGATCTCGTACAAAAAAAACCTATTGTGCCTACGCAGTAATTAGCGACAGGTTAAATGTCTTGAAATCAAACGCTCGATCGATTTCGTGGCATATCTTTTTTTATATAACATATTTTATCGTATGTATTGAACAAACATAATTAGAAGTAATTTCGGGGACCGGAGACAACTCCAGGTATACTGCTCATATTTTATTATCTAATGACGCATTCAATAATATTGTTTAAATTCTGATTTCTGGAATGTTTTATTAGTATATTATATTTAAAGACCGTATATTTTCAAATATTAAGGTTGTTTTGTACTTGGCTGAGCATAATATGCTCGATAAATCACTTTGTACGAATCGCTTTTGTACACGTACTTGCTTACGAGCGGATCGTTATTACAATTATATACTATTGTGAAACGTCATGTAAAAAAATTCTTGTCACCCATCGTAATAGGTGCTTTTACAGGAAAATAATAACAAAATATTATACACTAGCCACTAGCGCGCACGCGCACCAAATTTCTCTGTAATTACTCTCGGCTGCAGTTAAACATCCGTCGAGCGACCGCGTATCGACAGTCTGAAGTGGGTACTTGTACACCCAATTATTGGATCTGGTGATTTACGACGGTTTTAATAATACCTGCGAGTGTGTTGGGTTTACGATCGATCGACTCGCGGTCGGGTTATCGACGTTATAGCAGCAGAGGATGTGTTCGGGTCGGCTGTCGCGTGGGTGGCAGCTGTAGTTGTTGTACCGCGGCTTATGTAAATAATATATTATATTATTATAATATCACATTTTGCCGGCATGGGTACGGTCGGGTTTTTCGTTATTTTTTTAGAGCCGTGAACACGAAATCTGATAGAAAAACGCGGCGTAATCCCCTCCTCGGCTCACCCCCGACACATAACACCGCCAGCACAAGTTTTAGATCGATTAGATAATCAAAACAAACACACTGCGAGGCGATATAATGTATGTTATTGATATATTTTTAACGTTGGTAAAAATAATTTGCGGCGCATAAATTATAACATTACCAATAAATTATTATGGAAACTGCACGAGGAAACCAACATTTCGATCCTCGAGGTTGTTGCAGTGGAGAGCTCGCGCCCTCGCGGTTAATATTATATATTATAAAAGATTTTTATCGTTCCGAGGCGCATATTATTAAAAATAAAAAACCGCGTGTCGCAATCGATTTAAACTCCCCGGGAGTGTTTATTATAATATTTTTATAATATTGTATAATCAAGACCGCTGCAATTTTATTTTACACCGTTCGCGTATATATTTATAACGTCGGTATCCAACTGGCCACCTTCATTATTGTGTAAGGACGCAAATTTTTTTCTTCTCCACTGTTATCCCTATATAAGTATACGGGTTCATTAATTAAAGTCATCCGTATATTATTATATATTCAAATAATATATATTATTATATTGTTTTTAGAAAACTCCGTTTGAAACTAAACTCCATTTATTTTATTTTACTTTTATTTATAAACAATAAACAATGTAAAAATAGTGTATACCTGCTTTTTTTTACATAACAAATTTGTTTTATTAAAATTGACTTTGTTTTCAGATTGCATTCATTTTGGTAGTAGATTTTTTCGTCACTTTGGCTTGTATTTTGTTTTTGGATAAAATAATTGTATTTTTTTCCTACTTTTTTTTGTCTACTATTCGTTTATACAATCCACTCGTATTTTTAATGAAAATAATATATTAAATGTAAAAGAATTTGATTTTTTTCCTTTATTTGTTTATTTTTTAATTATCTTATTGTCTCGATAGTAAACAATAAAACTTTGATTTTTTCGTCCTATACTTATAAATAGAGTTTCTAAACTCAATGAAAAGTTTACATATTACTTTTGATCGAATAAATATAGCCAGTGCCTAGTGTATTGCTAAGTCCATAACTAAATATTTACAAACAAAAGTCAAAACTTCATAATTCTAAAAGCAATACCATACGAGTATAATATATGAATCGATTTTTATCAACTCGTCTTGGAAGAAATATGTATAGCGTTATACATAGATGGGTACTGACTAAAAACAAAATAATATCTTAAATTTACTATAATACATTTTAATATTAAATCACTATATTACAAACACTTAAGACCAAATGGAAAACAATTATTAGGTTTATATTTTATGGCGAGTTCTTTGAAATTTCTTTTTTTTTTAAATACACGAAAATAAGGTTATTATGTGGCCATTTGGTTTATCGTCTGCAGTTATATAACATGACTTATTAATCAAAGCACTTCGGTGTACCCCGTCACCCTTACTTGAGAGTTGAGTTGGTAATATGTTTCATAGAGTTGAAAATCTCTATTCGACGTATTTATGAAGCTGTTTATAATATTTAGTTAAAATAAATTGCTTATATTTTATATTTATGTGTGCGCGTTACAATATTTACTCACGATCGATCAACATGTTTGGTTTTTTATTGTCTACAGTCCTATAGAATAACTTACTGTTCTTATATAACTACATATAGCTGAAGTAAAATCTCATTTATCACACGCATCTATATCGGCTCGAAGTTTACACTTTTTGGCGCCAAGTAATACTGATCTCACATAAGTCGCAATGAACGGCACTATCATTTTTTCCGTTTTTTTTTCTTCGGAAGTTTTAAACTCTATATTCAGAGTATATATTGTTTGTATAATACTGGTATCTACCACTTTCGTCCCTAGTAAGGAGCATTGTATCAATTTATCGCGAGGGAAAACTTACTTGCGCTCGATTCGCAGACGGTAATGAAGATTAAATGTATGCCTATTTATTATTATATATGTAGTCGATTGGCTGCTTATTGTATACAAGTTTGCATTGTTACTAATTGAAATCTTCGTTCAAACTATATATATGAGTATATATATTATGTATATTATGTATCGCTACTACGGTCGTCGGTAATTTCCTGCACTCGATACCAGTCTTCCATTATATATATGCTTAATTTATTATTTTCGTGATCGTTATCTTTCAGTTTAATCAGTTGTGTTTGAATTTATCGCGTGTGCTTGATCATCATCGTATAATATTATTATGTTTGAAGTTTTCGTTACAATAAATACCGCAGATTAAATATGAGTACCTATGCAACAACATTTTAATAAAATATCTTTTATCACGTGTGTTGACTTAACTACATGCCTACTCGTCCACTATACTATCAAATTAAATATTTCGAAGGTATTTTATACTCTATATCCACTGCAGCCTGCTCTAAGTATAGTTAAATTGTAATGCATTTGTTGAAGGACATTGTGGGTTTTGGATTTTAACTTTCCTATCTAGTGTTAAGAAATAATTGTTTTTCAAATGACTTGTTATTATTTACTCATTAGTATAATATACAAATTAATCGGGCGTATGCATGTGGAGTGTAGTTAGAATATTTCTGAATTATATAAGCGAAATGCAAAAATTGTTTTTATGCGTCATACCTTATATGTATATAGTCTAATATTCCTGAAAATATTACAACGAAATGGGCAATGATTTACATATTATTCACACTGTTAGCGCTTCTTTAGAATGTTTATTTTAATCGTTTTGTATTCCATGTGAATTTGTACATACTTTACCCGAGCACATAAGTTTATAAAATATTAGTCGAATGCCACATCATAAAATTATTAGACCTCCATAGGCGAACAAACTTCTCTCCGACGACGGTCATTTATTATACAAACAGTCTCATATATACGAACCGTTAAGCACTAGGTTCATCCCCACAAAACGGTGTACTTTATCTTTACAGTTATTTATTATAGTTTACAAAGTCCTAGAATAATTTGTCACATGTTTGACGATATATTGCTGCAGGCTGATAAAATAGCATGGTATTTTAATTCTAATATTATGACGGGCGATTACAGTTTGAAAATAGATTGTTTTTGAACATGTTAATGGCATAAAGAATGGGTACCTAGGTTGGTACAAAAAACACCATTTCTATTGTTATTTGATTTTTTCCATAGAGTGATTAATCAAGCATCCCCACTCCTTTTTTCTTCAATAATGCTGCAGTTATTAAACATTTACTTTTTGGAGTTTTAATAAACTTATAATACTATGTTTGTATCGGCCATTTTTTTCAAATTATATTGAATTCTTTTTGTTGTAATTCTTCATACTTGAGGAGTCTACTGAGGAAGATGGAAACTTCTGTTTTTAAAATGAAAACACCCATTTTAAACTGTACATGAACGTATATATTTTTGAAAATTTTGACCTTATCTTTAAGTGAACATGTTTGATGAGTCACCCTGTTTTCATGAGTGGATTCAAATCGAAGACACATTTCCGAGTGGAAAAAAAACCAAGCACAAATCACCCACATCTGTAAATTGTATTATATTACTTTCACTGTAGGTATATTATATGGTTCTTTCGACGGTGTACTGCAGGAGTCACATATATCATATAGATAGCGATTTGAAATTAGCTATTGGACGCCGTGAACATAGCCACTGCTTTTACGAGGGTCCAGAATATTGCGGTGGTGGGGGAGGAAAAGCGCGGGACTGAAGAATAGAAGAGCTTTTGTGTCTGGCTCATTAAACTCAGTCAGGATGGTTCTGTCGTATCTTTTTATTTCATTATTATTTTTCTCAGTTCGTTGAACACAAATCACGCACACCCTATGTGGTTGTTTGGTGGGCGAAATCATTACAACACGTAGGTACCTATATAAGTGTACCTACACTGCAATCCGGCACTGCCGTCGAAAAAGCCCACACGCGC